ATAGTACAGTTACGAAAATAAATAAAAGCCACCTTCGCTTCAAGTTATTTGAGTGCTAGTCAGTTTTGAAGCCGAAATTACACTTATGGAAAACAAAAGTCCATCTTGAACATGAAGTGAAGTGTACAAACTGTAAGGTAATAAAAACTAAGGTACTTTTGTGCAACTTTAGCTCCTAAATACTTGAATCTCTCTTTTTACGCTTTATTCCTCTCAAAACTACGTCCACTTCCTCAATATCTGGCACCTAGAAGCATGATGACAACATTTTACAATCATAATTCAGTTGTTTTTCTTTGCGAGGCTCCATAACATTTGAGGCCATTCTCCCTTGCTTGTAACAGTCCCAGGTATTACAGCATATGGAGGTCCTGAAAGATATTACAACAGGAAGTAAAATTACGCGCTAGCCGTACTGAAACGGACCGCGCCTTCCAGAGATTGGATAAAACATTCCTTATCTTACACAAGAAGATATGCACAAGTCCACAATATCCAACTGTGCTGCTGGTAGCACCGTACAAAGTACTGCACTGAGAATAGCTGTCAGACGGCGAGTGAATCGAGGTCAATATGTTTCCCCTGATACTTTTCTTTTGAGCCTTCTTAAAAACTATTTCGTATGCTACAGATTAAATTTTATTTAGATAAGTTGGTTTTTAGTGGTAACCTAGAAAACGTTGGTAGCAGAGAACAGTCAGAACAGTTTTTGATTTATAGCTCAAAAAAGAGTTGCATTAAGAACAGGCTGACAGATCAGAACTATGAATTTTGAATGAAGACGACTACTACTTGAGTAGAAATAGCGCTTATTCCATGTCGAAAATCTCCTCTCACCCTTTTGCAGGGCTACTTTGTCTATGACGTGCTAGGTTTAGTTTGACGTAGAGGCTTACAAAGAGCATAAATTTACTGTGTAATTCAAGTAGAATTTGTTTGCGGTTAAATGTAACTCTCCAGTGAATTTCAGGGGTGGCGGATAGAATGCAATTTTGAGGCCGTTTAGCATTGGGACAAATCATTTCAAAAAGCCGTTGTTCTATTCCTAATTTCATAGAAGTAAAAGCATTTGATGAGTTAATAGGGAGACAGGAGGAGAAGTGCCAGATGAAAGTAGTTGGACTCTGACCAGGTTGCAGACATTGTGGAACGATATTGTAGACATCGCTCATGTAGTTGACCGAAGCGAGAATAGACCGTGAGCGTGGCGAAACAGCAGCGCCATAGTCGCTCTCCACCACGACCAGTGGCGGTCAGTCGTGCTGTCAACATCGATGGCGCTGGTGGTCTCAACCACAAAGAGAAAGCAATACTGGAGCCAATAGCGAAAAGAAAAACTGAAGCATATTAAAGGCTCGAATATGCTAAGGATATCACCCGAATCTTCTAAGCCTGCAATTTTGCTAAACACTGAGTAGCTCATGTGGCATCAAAAAACTCCAAACAAGTTATATGACAGTAACACCTCGGAGGAAAGCGACTACATGAGTGGCTAAAGAGGTAACACAGAAGTGCTTTGAAGCTGCAGCTAGAGAAGCTGTGGAGCATGCATTGGAAAGAGATGAGAACAAAGGAGAGAACCGCAGAAGAAATAAAATATCGTGGCTCATAAGTCGCTGTAATGAATTTCCATCCATAGATACATGATGTCATTTGTATCAGGAAATTGTTTCACTATGTACCATTCTCAATTGATGACCTTGAATACCTACATTTCTACAAATCTAGAAGTTTCCAACATTCGAGAGCTCAATAGAATCGTAAATTTTCGAAAATGTGTTTACCTCGACCGGCTCACGCTGTCTCGACAATGTTCACTGTCTCCTAACCTACTACTGTAGCTGCATGAAATCAACATTACGATATTCACTAATGTATTTTCCGCCGAAAGAGATGACGACAGCGAGCATCACTTAAAGCCTAATTCGATCGAATCGAGAGAACTCATCGCCTCACCATTAAAATTGGCGACACGAAATAGGAACGTTTAGTCGTTCCCGTAACCATAAAGAAAACCAAGGATCAGCGTGTCATCACCACCGTTTATTTGACAGATGGAATTAGATGACCATAAACGCCAACAATTTTGACGTTTGATTGGGCTTGATGATGGACAGATAACACGCGCAGAAAAGAATAATAGTCTGATGAGAACATCACCTACAACGATCAGGACCCACTCCGTTATTCATGTAAAATCTAGATCATCAATAAAAGTATACAACCATAGCAATTTTTTCACGCGTATAGTTGCTTGTCCTGCTCCTGAACAAAATCTTATAGTTTTTTATGGTATTAATAGAAATGTTAGTTACTTTACTTAACCATTTGTTGTTTAGACGATTAGTTGTTGCACTCGCCGGGCGATAGCGTCGCGTGTCGCGTGAGACTTCAACGTAGCTTTCAATGGTTAACTGGCCACGAATCTGATTTTGCTGCCATGAAAAAACGTGGATTTTTTCTTCTAATACTGACTTGTTTGTCGGAAATGATTACCTCATCGGCACATTTCCTTACTTGCTCTGAAATGGGTGATTTTATACGAGGATGAAAGATCATCGGAAAGATGAAAGGTGTCTAAAATGTATAGAATGAAACAAACTGAAAAAAAATGTCAGAGTATTAGCGGAAGCCAACTGATACTCGTAGAGATAAAAAATAGTGAGTAAAAAAATCAAATGGTTAAGATAGTCGCGTGAATGGCTAGCCATATTGCGCTGATTTGGTCGAAGGAAGTGAAGCCCTCTGTGGGGAGCCTGTGAATGGCTTGGCTAATAAGACAATTAGATGGAAGTCGACGCCACAAAAGAGATTCAAGGTAAATAGCCAGCCTTACAGCTTCCGCCTTTTAGCTGTGGATGTTGGAATACAGATGGACCGGTTGAACGCAGGGAAAATAGTTGGCCAGAGAATTTTCATATTTTTGCATCGAAGATACGACGAGTATTTGAGCTGCTAATCATATTGTCGCATTTGAACACATAAAATTGTATTCGGCTGAACCAAATAATGAACTTGTATCTATTGTCAATGATGCTACAAATATCCCAAGATATTTACTTTAGCAAAGGCACAAATCTTTTGAAATTCAAGATGATTATAATCAATACTTACGCTTTCTGAAGAGGTCAAAACTACTACATCTTTTGATTACGTGGACGTTTACGAAGAGTCATAAATGGCAGAAATGTTCTAGTCTTTCAAATCACTGGGAAGGAGAGATAGTTTACAAGAATCTGAATAAACGTCTGCTTTGAAGTGACGAAAGCTTTCAACAAATCAAGAGGTGGCAATTGCTCTCATGTGGTGATGAAGCTGACAACTGAACCGTATTTCCGGCACGTTCGTATGGCTTCCATTCAGTCGAATAGGATTCATGGATTCTGGTAGCATTGGAGGTTACCGCAGGGTGAATAAATAAATCATAACTCACGTTATTTTGACCGAGAAAGGCGTGATTACCATAGGACCTTCGTTACTTGTACGACACCACGAAAATAGCTGATCCCTTTCAAGTACCGAACTCTTAATGACTTTTGGCAAATCAGAGCTCACAATATTCTAAATTTCACCCCCATACTACAATCAGAATGGAAATTTGATTTGGTGTTTCAATCAAATTTCACTAGCACGGCGATAAAATATTCTATTATGAAGAGATATGTTCCCTGATGGTTTAGCACAGTGTTCGATTCCTACGTGTTCAATTGCGATGTGTGGCGAGGGTTCATTTCCGCAGCAGCGTAACTCAAGCGTTCGATGTTTCCGTTCGGAGGCTCAACTGGGAGTGGGACCTTGACGAATGCGACTTATGAGCATGGTGAGTTATATATCTGTTGAACAGTTGCGATGTCCTTGCCAAAACTGCACAGAAAATGGTATCATAGAAACAGTGTGATGAGTATGGTGTACCCAAACTCACTAGTGATGGAAAGCAGATGAGGAAGTCTTGTACTAAGCTGCACGCGTCAAGAACGACTTGAGTTTAGTGTTACCCAATTCAAGTTAATCGGTGGTTAACACGACATTGGGTGATACATGTGAATATAGCTTGGAATAATGTTTTAAGCATTTTCGAGTTAATATGTCAGTGGCTTACAGCGTTTTGCAGCCCCGACCTCTTCATCAAGTCACAAACCCCACTACAAAACATTTTCTATATTGAATTTTGCAGCGAGGTTTGAAAAACAGTCGACTGAAGGGCCATGTGAATATAGTTTCCTTTGTAATGCAAGTTGTTCAAGAAAGAAAGGTTAACTTGTTTCGTGATGTTGGTGTCTCTTATATAGAAGAACTGCATGTTTAATATGTCGAGTGGGCATAACTATGTGCAGAATTTCCACGAAACATGGTACTTTGTGACCTAAATAAGGATAGTTTCTCAAAAGAAAATTCCAAAGAGAAGGCAGAAAACGTCTAGAAAACTGGATATAATTTAAACGTTGAATGAAATGAATTGAAGTGTGTTTCACATCTACATGGAATTGTCTTTGCAGCGAATTCTCCTTAGGTCCATATCAATCAACGAATTGTACACAATCAATCAGGCTTCACTTTCTTTGACCGCATGTTGCAGTGGTATGATGTTATAATAAGCTTCATATTGTAGAGTGGTGTGCAAAAACGTTTGCATCAGCTGGGATTTAAACACAGATCTCCTTCTTTCTGGGAGGGCCTGCTAAACCGTTGCACTACCGACGCCCGTTTTCTACACCGCTCTATCTACGCTACAATGCGTTACCTGCCAAAAGCCAACCGTCTACAGTCTGGCGTGGGCAGTCACTATCGATATTGAATCCACTTATGCTGACAGATATTGGGTTTCAATAATCAATCAGGATTCATTTTATTTGACTGGTTGAGTGTGGTGTGCAAAATGGGCTACGGTAGTGCAAAGGTTCAGCGCGCACTCACGGAAAGAGTGAGATCTGGGTTCGAACTCCAGCTGACGCAAACGTTTTTGCATACCACTCTACATATTGGTTAAGAATAGGTTTGTTTTCCCACTTCACCGAAGTTGAAGTGCGAAAGATTAGATCATGAGTAACTTATTAGGCGTATGTACCTCAATGCAGAGCTATATACACACAGTCTTTGGTTCAATTTCTCGTTTCAAAAAAACCATGCCCACCAGCGCCTAAGAGTCTTGATTTCTGAGATCAGCGTTTCTGAGAAGATAGAAAACTCCTTTGTGGAACGATAGTCACAAGTCACTTTTTAGGTAGAATATCTATTCACTCATCTATATGATGTTACTAGTGAAGTGAAATTCTGGCATATTTCTATGTCTCTCACCAACGCCACGCACGCAACGTTTTGCCCTTCAAGTAATCATATAATCAAAGGCAGGTCTTTCTTTACTTTTTCACTAGATAGCAAATTAGTTGGCTTCTGAAAACGTGCTAGATGGAAGTATGCTATCTGCGAAAGCGCCTGACGTGAACTAAATGATGTTTTTTGTTCAAGAAGCAAATGAATTTTCAAGAGCGACTAAAGAAAATTTTAAGAAAGTCTTCAGCTGCAATTCATGTGGCAGGGCGCCGATAAACTGCAAACGGTGGGTCGATACAAATCATCTATCGTTGTTTATCCCTTCAGTGGAAGGAAATTCAATACTGTCACTTCTATTCGTCTTCCACACGAACGCAGCAGCTGAAGTTTACGTTTTTCAGTGATGAAGACAATTAGCAGAGCAACAGGCAGACAAACGAGGCCTTCATAATTTTTGTGACTGATTCAAAATAACGACTACTCACATTAGAACTTACTGCTGACTATTCCTCTATTCAGCAGTCACATCATAATTTTTTGCCAGCGAGAAAAAAGAAAGCTGATTCTGATTTATTCTATTTCAAGTCCGTTTGTAGAGTGCGACTTCAGAATTGCCGAAGAAAGGTCACACAAAGTTCATTCAGAACCTAATGTAGCAAGCAAGAAAAATCTTACTAGTGCTAAACAGTCTGTTGTGCTGCCGTTTTCCTTGTCTCTTCAGAAACTTGTAATGAATAACAAAAATGAAGTCATTAAGATTATTAAGATAAACGGGTGCAATCAAACTTACATTCGGGGCTTAACGCTGCATTCAACTTCATCGACAACTGAGCAGTAGTACTTGGAATTTCACAAGAAGACATCTTGATACTTGTTCACTTAACATGCTGAGGACCATATGCATGAAATTTCATGCACCGATAGTCGCGCAATGTGCCGGGAAATTGGGAATTTAATGGTATATTGGGGCTGTGAGGGACATTATCATCACTCAATGGTGGAATATCATAGAAGAGACATCTGTAAGGATAACTCGTGTAAGAAGAACTCCATGTGTCCAAAGATCTCTTTGTTTCAACGAGATAATCACATTCTTTCAAAGACATATTTCTAGCTGTTATACCGCGGTTATTCTTTATTATTTTATACCTTGATTTTGTAATCATTCGTTCAAAGTTTTTTTTTCGGATCCCAGTGCTTATAGCATTCATTTCGTCTTTTGTCTTATTGTTGAGCACCTAAAATACTGATTAAGCACGTCTCCTTGCAATATCGAGAATAGTCTGACTGTGCCTTTCCCTAGGCTTTCGTTGTTTACTGCCGGAAGGCGTTGGGAGTGGGCTATGGCCCCGTGCGCCGCGACGAACAGTACAACCATTTAGGCCACGGCGCTCCTCGCAGTCAATCGACAGCTTGATAAATACAGATCTTAATACTAAGCTTGATTTATGGAGAGATCTTCATATACGTTTACTGATGAAGAAAGACTACGTTTGCCTGGAGCGCTTAACCATTGTTTGGTTGAACTTCACCGCGGACTATGGTATTTATAAAGTAAAATTTTGATTCTAAGCCATTTTACCATTACGAAAGAATAGTATGCTATTGGAAGGTCTTCTATAGAAGTAATTCTAGTGAGAAGCGCTCACTTGTCTCAAAACCCCTACTTCTCAATACGAAAGCCACATCGATGGAATAGCAAGGCATTTACAACTCTTTTTTCACCTTTTTGACGACTCTCTGAGCTGTGAGTTGATAGCACGTTTTCTGCAATATACGGCTTCTGGAAGAAACCTATGTGTGGATTTTCAAAAAAGGTAGCAAGGACACACTCATTGATTTGAGGGATTCGACGATTTTCTTCCCTCAAAAAATTGTTTTGAAGGAAGAATTCATCATTCCTATTGTTCATAGCCTTATTCAAGTCTCTTCTGTTATCATTCGAACATTTACTGGCACAAAATCTACTGTGGGACGACAAAAACTAAGATTCGTTTATACATTGTCATTAGAGCACACCCGCCAACCGGCGATGCATCGCCTGCCAGACGAAATAACAATGCGGTCCGCAACGTGTCAAACGAAAAATCACAAAGATATAATCATGTAAGTCTTATAAAACGAAAAGTGTTGGACTTCATAGTTTTATTTAGATGGAGTTATATACTCTGCAACCCTGCGTGCTTCTGCGAATTGGTCATAAAACAGTACAAGTGCTTGATCGCCCATGGAGATTCAGGAAAGCCCAGCGTTAAATTAGATATCACTCGTTGACTATGCGAACTTCCTGCCACGGTGGCACTAGAACACGCGATACTTTACCGAGATTATGTGACGCAATGGATTCACAGAGACGACTGCCGTATGTTTGCCCTCTTGATCTGCGAATTTGCTTTTCACTATGTCCACATATCCAAGTATCACACGTGAAAAAGAAGACGCCGACAAACAATATCCATGGATAATTAAAGGTAACTAAGAAAAAATCTGAGAGGACCACTACATTTAGTTCCTTTATACAAAAATCGGTGAACAACTGTTCTCCTACAGTTTTATTGAAATGCAAAACCTGTGATCACGACATAATCTAGGCACAACAATGGTAAAACGGCTGTTCAGGTCCTTTTAGAATATAAGTTCGGCTGATACACTCATCCACATAGTGTGTTTTATTGAATGCTTATTACAAACGTCAGTCATCAATCCAAGTGACCTGGAATTTCCTCTAGGGTGGCTTTCTCAGGAGAATCTGAGCAGAAGATTAGTGTACTAGGTGTGATAGCTCGGAATCGTGATTATGATAACCAAGCAGCTCAACTTCTAATGTTGACATGAACAGTCATGTTCAACTGCAACTTGAATCAATAACGATTTGATTCGATTTCTGTTACTGCAATTACTCAATAAAGACATCCTTTTGAGTAGTAGGGATAGAACAATAATGTTTACTTTCCATCGCCGAAATCGGTATCCATCAATGATTCCAAGACATTACAATGAGTAAATCTCGTGAGATCAACAAGCGACGTATGGGCATGTAGACGTGGACCAAAAAAGAATAATTGCCAGTGGAAATATTAACAGATAATGAAAACATCAGGATCTCGTCGGAAAACTAGGTTAAAAAGTCTAACAGCGCTAATGGAAAACGGCCATACAATATGGTTTATGGGGTTGACAGCATGATCTTTACAAGAACAACGAATGAAATGAGATCTAAAAAACGATACGAAAATGAAAGTTGCTCTCAGGAAGTGAAGTAGTAAAAGTCAACTCAATCAACTGCACAATGAAATCCAAAATGTCTGTATCACAATCTCTTCTGAATCATAAAAACTCTGACTACGGTTCACAAAATCAGCATAGTTTATAGTTCTTTCTTACCAAAGGACATATTTTTATGACATTTACGTAGTCGAGACATTTCTAGAGGAGAAGAAATTTTTATAGATGTGCGATAATAGAATGAACGTATGGACGACTGGAAGGGGTAGACGAGCAGCGGTGTGAACTGAAACACAATGACGATGGCTCGGCGATGACAAATCAACCTACGGGTGACCTGACAAATGGGATAAATGACGATCAACGGCAATTCTCCGACTTGTGGAAAGGGGTGCGCCCAGAAGCACTAGTGCTATCATTGAAGCAAAGTCATAAGGAGTTCATTCTTCCAAGTGGAACATTTGCCGATCGCCTGCCGTGCTTCTCATGCCGAGTACTTGTGGGTTAGCAATCTCGCGACAGATCAAAAAAGAAAGTATATAAGGTAATACAGGAACTGAGTTATGCTTGAAAGATGTCTGGATTTCCACCTTATGATGACCTATATGAAAAGAATGTGACAGGACGCAACTATTGCCTTTGAATGCACTTCATCGAACAGCCGTCAACTCTATTTGACGCCAGGATGTATCAAATGTATGTTAAGGCATCGTCAGAATTTATTGAACTCTGAAGCGAGGTCTTGAAAAACAGACGAATAAAAAGGTAATATTATTTCAACAGCAATAAACAATCGGCTGTAAATCACTGCAATGTCAAGTGATTTTATCACTTGACGTGCAGTCATAGAAAACCACTGCGGCGTCAGGTGATCTTATCACTTTACGTGCAGTGTAAATTGTGCGGCACCCTTCTATGTAGGGGCTCGATTGAACCGAAAGGCGTGTGCTATAGATGAGGCTTGATATGAAAAAGCTAAAGCTTACGTCTAGCCTAAGATAGTGCTACATTAGACCGCATGAAAGGCTTAAAATATGCTGTCAGGATCTATTTAAGGCTATATAGACTCCAAGAATCCGTCCAAGATCGAATGACAATTAGCGCTTGCGTGAGGTCATCCCTACAATACGTAGATAATTTTCCGCAGTGCACCACACAATTCACTAGGAACTGCAGGTGGCGCTGTGTGGGTTTTCTAGCATTACTCGTTTTTCTCTTGCGCCACACTATAAATTGTATATCTAGATGATTGATTAACGGGTCAAGTAAAGGGAAGTATAATGACTCGCAGTATTTGTGCTCTAACAACAGAATATTGTTTAGTGTGGGCAGCTTCTACATAGTCGACACCGACTTTTCAATACTGCAATAGTGGTTAATTCAACACGGGTATTTGTTAAAGGCATAATAGCTATTACTGAGTGATAATAAGGTAAAGGATAAAGGTCTCAGCGTTGATCA